TTATGGCTGGCATCACAAAAAAGCTGTAAACAATCAAGCCACGGTTCTATTAGATCTCTAATTCTGATAAGAATCTGCCTGATAGATACCAGAGATAGAACTTACAGCAGACAGTAGATCTTTGGATGCATTCCTCTGCCGGTCATTTACAGGCAATATCAAACGCGTGAGCAGGACCATCCTAGCACATTCTAGCTTAAACTACTGCAAAAAGAGGAAACTGAATATGTCCTCTGGCAGAAATGTTAAACATAAATCGACCCTGACAGGCGATACCATTATCCGTTTTTGTTTACGTCAGGACAGGCAGTCGGGAGTATCCGGTTGATCAAGAGACAGCGTATCTCCACGAAGAGTCCCTTTTACTCCAAGGGTAAAGGAATGAAACGTCAACAAGACTACTTATTTGGATTTCGATTTTCACGAATTATCAACATGTTTGGCCTCAGAGGCTTAAACCCGTCTCTTAAGTTGGTCCTCCGAGAGTAACAACCGTATACTTTTTGGTGGCGAATGTTGAAATCCCGAAAACCGCTCATAGTTTGCTAAAACATCAAGCCATGAGTTTCGAATCACTGAAGGCTCAAGTCGTGACCAGTCCAACAGATACATGATGGAAGGCATCACAAGGCATCATATCACACTGCCCCACATAGTGACATTTCTTATGACTGCTTCACCCGCTTTAAGCAATATTTACCTTTATCTCTCTTCATGTCCATCTGAATTTGGGTCAAATATTGTGCATTAGCTCTCGACAACCGTTTTTATTTCAATCATCTTGGGAGTTTTTAAGGAAAACGGACAGCCGGCAACTACGGATTTCAATTCATTGTCGATCAGTGTAATAGATTGAATTGTTACGTGTGCAAAAATACTCTATCCATTGGTCAGTCTACTGACGATCGCCTCGCCATTGAATCGTGGCCAATCTTGTTAGTTGGTCCGTCTGAGGTCATGTTGTAGTGGCCAGTATACCCGTTTGTTCGTGGCCCCAGAATACAGTTTTCAGGATCGCGCTTTGTGCCATGCGTGTACAAACCTTACTGGGAGGCTATCCAAACTCATTTAGAAAAAGCCCAACTCAACCTCAGCGTATCGACTACTCATGTCTAGGCCTGGGCAAAATGGCAGTACTTCACTCGTCGTATTTCCTTCGAGTAGCATGGCAGGCAAGCTTATGGCTATCAGTTATTTTGATCAAGCCACTCTCTATGCCATCATACTTGTTTCGCCCTAGGAGATACTGTATCCCGTTACTAGCGTACAAGCCATTCTAACCAGATTCATTAATTGGGGCGCAGGTTGGAACTAATGAATAAGCCAAATAATTAGAAGACAACTCGAATTTTCACAGCCATTAGCACAATTACAAAGGTATTTTTCAGTTTCAAGCGAGGCTGAGCGTTCTGTAAGATCAATTCAACGTTCCAATGCCAATCTCGCTAGCCTACGGTTAATTAGCGTTTGTTCTTATGTGACTTGCTGAACCTGTTGAGTACAAATGGTTACTTGAAACCACAGTAGGCAGTTTGATGGGAACTGAACGCAGAGGGAGGGCTCTATATACCCATCATTCAGACGCAACAATGTATGCTGATTGTGCTACCATTGTTCTGTGTGTGTGCAGAACACATTTAGCACCATTCTGACAATTGTGTAAGTGTGGGTATCCCATAAGTTAACCTGTGTAGGCAGTAGGCAGCCTTCGTGTGGTAACGCAGAGGGAGGGCTCTATATACCCATCATTCAGACGCAACAATGTATGCTGATTGTGCTACCATTGTTCTGTGTGTGCAGAACACATTTAGCACCATTCTGACAATTGTGTAAGTGTGGGTATCCCAAAAGTTAACCTGTGTAGGCAGTAGGCAGCCCTCCGTGTGGTCCGGGGAAGTACCAACGTCAAAACTTACGGGAACCATATATGATTCGCCACTTGAGCCCTCGATTTGGGTTGATGGCTTGACTTTGATTTCATTGGTATCTTGCCTTTATTTTTCTTCGTATTTTCTCCCAAGATGTTTCGACGTATGCTGCTTGAACTCCATTATATTCCATTTTACTTTTGTGTCGAGGTGATTGCATTTCATGTGAATATCCGCGAATGACCTAGCCGAGCTTTCGAACCTACCGCGCTGCCCGAAGTGAATTCCACTGTTCAGTTTTTGCAGGTCAAACTGACTACCAATAGTGTCTTGGTTGCTTATTTAGAGCGATACGAGCCATCAAACCACTGCACCCACATATGCCGTTTATCTGTCGCCGTATATTTCGGTGATTGTACGGCATTAGTTGAAAATATTGGTGGCCTCATAACCTCCCTCTTTGCACAGTCGGATTTACGTCAGGTACAGCCGACTTCACTGGCACAAACTACATGTGAATTCAGCCGTAAGGCACGGGGTTGAGCAGTATAGTTCGAAGTCGCAGGCAAACGCACGAGCGCATGCCATTCATCTGCAAGTTAACCTATGTTTCCCTGTTGCAGCTTTTGTGGGCCCTCCACTATACAGGATCTCATTTCTAGCTTCGACTAGCTATGTTCCTTAGCTGAAAAAGCTTCCTGACCTCCAAAACTCCGGTTTCCCTGGGCTCTTTAAAGCGTTCCGGGCTGGCCAAGCAAAACCAGTCTGTTGCTTTTGCGCGGTTGATACATCAACGCTTCAGTCGGCAAACTGCCACTCGTAACGCAGTATCTAACCCCAGTCGTCCTAGTCGTGGCGGTGGCAGAGCGCGTCACAGTGGGGCTGAACGCGGCTTGCGAGGCTCGCATCAATCTACTGCAAGCAAACGTGCAAGGAAATATTGTCAATATTCAAAGCGGGGGTGTGATGAAGATGACGAACAGGTAGACGAAGGGACGAAGGCTTCCAAAGAAGTCTCAATATTCAGCTCCGGGATGTCCTGCGTTCTGGCTTTCGAGCCGTCAGAACAGCATTCAAATAGGTCATCGAGCAAAGCGGATAGCGATGAGGACAGCATCGATTCCGAGTCCCCTGATGATCGCTGGTCACTATCCCGTGCGAATTCTGTACATACAACTAAACGCGGCAAGCGTAGATTTCTCACTAAGCGATGATATGAGGAGCATTTTTATCATCTGCTAATCTTTTCACAAGAGGTCGTCAGTTTTCTTACATTCATATGTAGCATTTTCTCTGTTCGAATTCAGGCGAATTATTCGTGTACCGTCTCATCGCAATCCTTCCCCGAAATCACACCGACTTGTCTTTATTTTTACCCAGACTAGGTTGACAAGTTTACGTAGAGAGCTGACGATTCGTATTGTTTTGTGACCTTACTTCTATCAAATGCGCCATGAACCAATCATTCGACCTGAGGTGAGCCCACTTGGCTTATGAAACTATTCTATTTCGGTTGTGGGTCTGGTAATCACAGTTGGACATGCCAAAAATCATACTAGGTGAATGTGGCTAAAAACGTCTGTATGAATCAGGCTAAGCAGCAATCTACATCTATTAGGTGGAAGTGGTCATAGCAGAGCGACGGACCCAATACTTTCATTTGGCGTTTGTGAGAACACAGTCAGATGGGGACCCTTACTATGGAATTTATTAGGCCACAGTCCACGCTTATTATTAGTCCACGTTTTGGTCAGTCAAGTCACCATGACGGTGCCGTCATTACGACATATTGCAAGCTATTTGAATGAACTGATTGCATAACTGCTATTTTCATGAGTTGTCTCCCCGTGAATATGAAAGTAGTGTCCAAGACCCGCTTACACCACATAGACACCGGCTATTTGAAGCCATCTCCTCGAGCAAACTAGGTCAAGGGAAAACAAACTCCGGGGGAGTCCGGAAACTGTCAACATCAGTAACACTGTGACTAACCCGAGTAATGGGGTTACAGAATTCAGAATTCAGTGTGAGAGCTAAAAATTCATATGAGCACGCTGACTTCATCGTATCGACCAGTGTTCATTGCTTGTTCCCGACGATGTCACAGGACACTGTAGTGTGTACTAGACTTTTGTTGAGCAATTAACTGAAAGAACTTAATAAGCTGAGTTATACTTCAATTGCTGACTTACTCATCACGCAATAGTTGCATGGAATCCTAAGTTCAGCTAGCTGAACCTGACTTGCTTGCTGGAAACCAGAGCGAATCAGACCGATGGAAGCGGACCAGTAGAAAGACGCATGTAAATCTACGTCGGAAATTTTTGGCGACAACTTATCAAATGCATCTTGGCGTGTACGAACGTTGAAGCTTTGTCAACAACTGGAGACCGGCCTGTCCCGTCTTGAAATTTCCAAAGTGGACGCAGTCTTCCATTTTGTGTCAAACTTACCTTCTATCGAAAAGCGCACTTTGAGAAATATGTCTATTTTGTTCAATTGCGTTTGGACTAAGTCTTTTGTTAAGACCAACTTGGTTTGCAAGTGAGTGTAATTCGCAACCTTGATCTCATTCCTAGTACTGTAGGAACCAATCCGAGCTTATGGCCGATGAACTGTTGTGACGTAGTTTCAACTATTCCCCCGAGAGGGAAAAACGTTCGGCTCCTGCAATCAAACCGGTACTGTTATTCCGTTAACAACATAGTCGCACTGTTGCTTCAATGTTTTCCACATTTTTGCACCTACCTTAACAGCATCGATGAACCACACAAGGAATTCACGAGACCATACTTAGGGACCACAGTGCAGCCACTTCAATTCATACGGTTTCGCTCGTAAATCCACGCGAGCCATTAGAATTACGAAGTTCTGCTGAATATGATAAGATTTGTCCATTAGAAACCGTGATCCTACACACGTTATTAATGGAGCCGAGAGGCTCGCCGTGATAACCCATCGTCTATATCAATTTGATGCTGTATTTTTCGGATCCCTGTTGGCAGACCATGTCAATATGAAGGTCACGAACGTCGGTAATAGTTTGCCAGAGGTAATATGTATCTTATCAAACTAATTCCTCCTTGGGCTCTGTTGCTTGACGTCCTCATACTATACATGTGTACTCGTCATCAATCCCATGGAATTCTTCGGGAGTCCTTGAATGTCTTCAAGGATGAAATCGACAAGTTCTATTTATCCAAGAATTCTGTGAGCACGGAATCGGGCGAGATTTTAAAACAAATTACAGATTAATTTCCATCCATTTTCACTAAACGTGTCAGCCCATAGCAAACTTCGTTTGTATCAATTTTTCATCTGGGAAATTAGTTTTGCATTCCGTAGGTTTCGACGAAGACCGAATGGTTTCTATAAGTACAACAAAAATAGATGATTGATCCTAACCACGTACCAATGAGACCAACGAGTTAGCTTTGTTTTGGACCATCATTGGGGCTTATCCGTTCTCGACTGTTTTTCCTTACCCAGGACTAGTACACAATACATGTAACACACTGTTGACATGCAAACTGCTTAGTTTTCTTCATATAGCAACAGTGACCTCAGATCACAGTGAGTTTACGTTATCTAACATACCAATGATCCCAGACATCTCTCCTAAAAAGCCTTGATGCATGTAATATAAGAAGAACATAGCAAAAGAAATAAGGCTGTATTTCATTCACAGTCATACTGGTGTGCACTGAGAGTTCAAAGCCCCTGCTGTTGACCCACAGGTGTTTCGTCAGCTTGCTCAGGTTTATGCATGTTTCTGATGTGCAACATCAGAGTCCTCGCATATGAGAGTGATTGTGGGCAGTGGGGGCAAGGAAACTTGTTCTCACGTTCGTGCACCTGCCTGATATGTCTGTTTAAATGGAGTTCACGAGGAAACGACATGCCGCATTTTTCGCAAACAAGACCCGCCGTTCCGGGATGCACAATTCTTCGGTGCTTTTTCATATTTCTCCAATGTTTAAACTGCTTGCCGCATTCAAGACATGGATGTCCTGCCTGTTCCGATGCAAGTATTTGTTCCCTCGTTGACTTATCACGCGGAACATATTCATCCACGTGTCTTTTTCTCTTATGCTTGGCAAGGTCTGACTGGTGCTTATAGGTGCTTGAACACATATTGCATTTGAAAAAACGTTCGGTAGCATGAGAATCCTGGTGCCTTAAGAGATGTGATTGATGTTGAAATCCTCGTCCACAGATCGGGCATCGATAAGTTAAGGCTTGATCAACTGGTTCCTCTGGGTTTTGAGAGCTATCTGGTGATTCAGCTTGCCAAGTTGAAATTTCGGCAGTTTTCGATACCTTTAGGTGAGCATTTTCACCAACTTCTCCTTGGACGTTAATTGTAACTGAGCTCGTTCCATACGCCTCGTCAACATGCTTGCTTGGCAAGGTCTGACTGGTGCTTATAGGTGCTTGAACACATATTGCATTTGAAAAAACGTTCGGTAGCATGAGAATCCTGGTGCCTTAAGAGATGTGATTGATGTTGAAATCCTCGTCCACAGATCGGGCATCGATAAGTTAAGGCTTGATCAACTGGTTCCTCTGGGTTTTGAGAGCTATCTGGTGATTCAGCTTGCCAAGTTGAAATTTCGGCAGTTTTCGATACCTTTAGGTGAGCATTTTCACCAACTTCTCCTTGGACGTTAATTGTAACTGAGCTCGTTCCATACGCCTCGTCAACATCCGTGGCTGATGAGATGTATGGTATGAAAATAATGGTATGCTATTGAAACGCATATAAAATACACATGGTGCACTATATGTAGTGCGGGAAAGTGGAAGAATTTCAGCTTGCACAAACAAACGGAAAATGGGTGTAGAATGAAAGCAGACTATCTGTGAAATATCTCTATGTAACGTTTTGTAAATTGTGCACACTGAATGCATCACTTTGTACACCGATTTTCTTCACTAATTTCCCAGATCAGTCAATTTGCAGAGTGGTCTACACCACGTCCTTCTCATTCGATTTCCATATTACATCGAAAATTTGAGTAAAGGCCTCTGAAAATTTTCCATCTTTTAGACTTCAGGATAGCATATTCTCTGGGCATCTGAGCCATCTTCAATCGGGTAGTGCTCAGTTAGACGCGATTACAATAACTAATCCCCACAGTTTAGTGGCGTGAAATACCTTGACAAGCTATAAGTAACGTCAGTGTTTGCGTCTGGGGCTGTGTCCCGTCCGCTCAACGGTGAGTGTAGAGTTATTCTATTCGCTTTTGTCGTCACATATAACTCAGTGTTTCTTATGTCAAACGCTACAGCCTTGTGCATTTTACCCCATGCGTAAACATGTCACCACAGTCGGACTTCTCGCTGAGTGGTACTCACTTCATCTGGTCAAATTAACGTGTACAGTGGAGAATAAACTGAAATTAACCAGGAAGTCATGTTTACTACTTTTGGATAGAGGATAACCATCTACTTGCCACTGATTACTCCGATCATGTGAAGTATTAATCGATAGCTCCAAACTTATTTTTGTCCACACGGGGTTCAGATGCGCACCAATGATTATCACGTGAACAGTGCTCCCATTTACTGAAGTGAATTCGGAAGAAAGTAACCTACGTCATGAGAAATTCCACACCCATGATAAGTGCAATTCAAGCAATTTGTTGTATCGTATCAAACGTTTGCACTTCTTACATGAGCTCTTTGTCCCACTGTCCGTATTGGAGGCAACTTCCCGCTGTCCCCATTAACTTTGTTACTAAGGCTGTTCACTTCGTACGTTACACACAGCCCCTCCGGCACGTTGTTCGATTCGACTCTATTTTCCTTATTACAGTACAACTTTCGTTGTCCCGTGCGTTTCAGGGTGTGTTTCCGCATTTTTATCTCGAAGGCATGGATTCAAATTCAGACAAGCGTTCCTTCGATCCTTATTTCGACGCCTGACGAATGTAGAAATTAAACAGAATAATATTCACGGTATCTGATTTGAACTTTGACTTACACACTGGAGCATATGTCGATAATAAGTTGTTCAGCTGCCAAACTGTGTGGGAATAAAGAGAAGAGTGACTGTAATTCAAAGGCCAGTGGAAAAATTTGATGAAATTATCGAAACAATATATCGTTGATCATATGCCACCCTCAAAACAGCTCACGTCAGTTAATCCGATGAGGACTGCGTACTGAAGACTGTCAGTGCCTACATATGTGCTTGCAGAACTCTCACCTGACCATCCTGATTGTAGAGATGATCATCACCGTCGTTATCACCGCTCTGGCTCTCATCGTCATCTTCAGCGTGACGACCATCAGCCCTACCATTGTTAAAAGTTGACCACACAATGACGTCTCCATGTCATCGTGGTAACTTATATGTTGGTAAATCTGTTAATGAATAAACAAACACATGTTAACAACTACAAACATCTAACATTGACTGCCCGTTGTACAAAGATTTAGTCTATATGGTACGGTGGAAAATGCACTGAAACTCACGGTTATCTTGCGCCGACGCTAAATTCGCGAAGCACAACACTGTAACCGCGAATGCTAGCAAACCCATGCTCAATAGCAATTGATTTCAACGGCAATGGGACCAGTCAACTGCTTTCTGGCGTACCTTCTAATAGGTTTGTGTAAATTGCAGGTATTGGTGGAAATATCCTAATTGACACAGGATGCTGATTGGCTGTCGTGTGGGGATTTTGAATTGAACGATTTTTGAGCATGCAATCGATCCTAATTGACACAGGATGCTGATTGGCTGTCGTGTGGGGATTTTGAATTGAACGAATTCTGAAGCATGTAATCGGTAAAATTTTCCTCATTCAAGGTGAGATCGGCAAGTTTATAAATGGGACTTGGGATGCTTTCGCGGGTATTTCAAGACAATCCAACAACTTTTACCTGAACCGTCGCACGTTCTAGTCACACCAAGGAGTTGTGTGTGATGTGGTGTATTGATGGTGAACTTCAGTTGAAGGAAAAATCCTCAATTAAAAGTCTTTGACCAAATTTGTTGTGGGGCGCATTTTTCTTGCCTTAGCAAAGAAAGGAAGAAAAAGAGACTTTCAGATAGTTGACTATTTGTCAATAGTCTATTCTGGCATGGCTGTGCCTGCATCAAACTGATTCGATAGTATAAATGCTGACATTACATGAGAGAGCTGGGTTTACGCCTAAACCTACAAGTATCATTCGTTCGAAAAGACTCTTCACACAGCTATCAATATGAGTCTGAGGTGAGGAGAATCTAAGAGAAAAGGTGTACAACTTCAATAGCTTTTGTTTCAGGTGATGGGTTGAATTTTCCGATCTACTACTCACATTCGCCAACTAATTTCTCCGCTTGCCATTATTCGAGAAGTCATTTCGCTTAATTATTATCAGAACCCAAATACGTTTCCTGACGATATTGAAGTGGTGTTACTAGCTAAATGTTCGCTGAAGCCGAAGCACGAACTGTTGAGTTTCTTCTCTACAGATTTGGAAACTAAACGTCCAGTCCATCTGAAAACGATCACCCTAAGCATTCTTCCGTTAAGCAGTTTGTCTAAACCAGTTGGGAAAAACTCGAGTAAAGGTACGCGTGCGATTCTACATCTGGTCAACCTTAGGCTTTGACGAACCAGCTATCTAAACGGAGCAATTGGTAATATCCATCTCCTTGGTAGGAAAAATGCACTAGAAGAGGCGACAACACAGCAGGCCGAAGTCTGCGACACACGCAGTCTCAGATTTTCAAGGCACTAACTTGAACAGACAGACTTAGGTTTTTCTGAGACATCCAACCTGGTCATACCGGAAGAAGAGCTATTTTGCCAAATTCTACTCCCAGTAAACCAAAAACATTTCAGCTGGGATGTTGATTGGTGTACGACAGCATTCGACGCTATTCAGTCAAGAGCTGGATTTCATTTAGTTGATCGCACGGAAGAACTATGGGTGAACGAATTGAAAAACTGGTAGGAAAACGTGGATGTACAATTCGGCTTAAGCAGTCACATTAATGCGTCACGGGAAATAAACTGATCCACCTGAATGTGCGCACCTTTGTCTTCAGTACCCGTTATCACTTCCAGACCATCTGTCAACCATCATGAGTGGTGGTCGATAATACTCAAGTGCACACATGTATTATTAACAAGTTACTGCTGATATGCGTTGACCAACTATTTCTATTTGGGTGTGCACACACCTGCTATCAGACAGCAAACGACAAACGCTATTCTCCACGAGGTCTCGTAGCTGAGCGGCGCTGTAAAAGTTTGTCGAACACCACAACGGTTTCAGTACCATCCTAGGTCGGTTGAAGTATTGTGGTCTAATTTCAAAGTCGGAAGGTGGGAAGACTTTTCAAAAGGAACCACGTAACTGACCTTATACGCAGGTGAATTGCGATCGACTGGAATGACTCCAGAAAATTGCAGTTGCTTCGCAGCAGCCTATTTCAAGAATGCGTGAATTTGTGCGCTGAAAATTTTAACTGCCATCTGCTATCCCCGCTATTTCATTTACAGCTTATAGCTGAAGCCGGAGAAATATATGTCACTCTCAACACAACGGTAGTAAACGCCACGTGGAGACAACAAATCTAACCAAGAGGGACGTTTTTTCTGGTTGATTTTCCGCGCCTCGGGGTAATAGCTGGGTGAGAAAAATAATCCCGATACGCTGACGGGTGACTGATATCAGGCCATGAGGAGAGAGGGACTGAGCCGTTTAGCCCACTACTCAGCTGCGCATCCATCTAGCGTAAACCCACCCACTCACCGCAGACACCATAATCTCCATTCTGTACAGCATTATTTGCAAAGTCCATCGCAATGGTGAAATAGATCGGGAAATTAAGCTGGCATGGAAATCCGTGGAAATCCAGCAGACCTTCTTGTAGGCCGATGTGTACCTCAGTAGCGCCAGTGGTGAAATGAACAAGGATTCACTGTGGAGTTATTTATTAGAAAATGCCAACTGGCTACGGACTAACTACTGAAGGGAAGCCAAGTTCTCATATGCATCTTGTTTATAAAAACTGAGTGTACGTCTTCTTCTCGAACGCGTCTTCCTGAACTTTCCTGGATAATCATTGAATATCACTCACATGTAAACGGAAGCTACAAAATCATTGCACGAATTCCGTAACAGATCTCACGTTTCAATAGGAACGAAGCGGGTTTACGAGGAAACCACATACTAGTCGCAAGCATCATCGGTAGTATCCACGGTTGCACAGGTATTTAAAAAGATAACCGAGCTGTTAGTAAGGGCGGTCGGCTTATCAGCCTGAGAGTTGTCGCAGGAAAGTCTTCGTGATTCCCCCAATATGCCTCCTCAAAGAAGCGCGAGCGGCTCGTATCAGAGCGGATCATGAAGGCTTCCGTGCTTCCGGTGGTAGTGTTGAATGAATATGTACACTCGCCATACTCCACAACAACACTAGAAGTCTCACCATCCAATCGCAACCCGCATCATTGAATTCCATGCTGAATTTGACCAAGTCAAAGAGGAATGCATTTTGTTTACCCCAAAATCCGATGGTGTCACTTAACCTGACTGGTCCTACCAGGGTCTACTATTCACCTGCTATCAGACAGCAAACGACAAACGCTATTCTCCACGAGGTCTCGTAGCTGAGCGGCGCTGTAAAAGTTTGTCGAACACCACAACGGTTTCAGTACCATCCTAGGTCGGTTGAAGTATTGTGGTCTAATTTCAAAGTCGGAAGGTGGGAAGACTTTTCAAAAGGAACCACGTAACTGACCTTATACGCAGGTGAATTGCGATCGACTGGAATGACTCCAGAAAATTGCAGTTGCTTCGCAGCAGCCTATTTCAAGAATGCGTGAATTTGTGCGCTGAAAATTTTAACTGCCATCTGCTATCCCCGCTATTTCATTTACAGCTTATAGCTGAAGCCGGAGAAATATATGTCACTCTCAACACAACGGTAGTAAACGCCACGTGAAGACCACAAATCTAACCAAGAGAGACGTTTTTTTCTGGTTGATTTTCCGCGCCTCGGGGTAATAGCTGGGTGAGAAAAATAATCCCGATACGCTGACGGGTGACTGATATCAGGCCATGAGGAGAGAGGGACTGAGCCGTTTAGCCCACTACTCAGCTGCGCATCCATCTAGCGTAAACCCACCCACTCACCGCAGACACCATAATCTCCATTCTGTACAGCCTTATTTGCAAAGTCCATCGCAATGGTGAAATAGATCGGGAAATTAAGCTGGCATGGAAATCCGTGGAAATCCAGCAGACCTTCTTGTAGGCCGATGTGTACCTCAGTAGCGCCAGTGGTGAAATGAACAAGGATTCACTGTGGAGTTATTTATTAGAAAATGCCAACTGGACAGCTACGGACTACTGAAGGGAAGCCAAGTTCTCATATGCATCTTGTTTATAAAAACTGAGTGTACGTCTTCTTCTCGAACGCGTCTTCCTGAACTTTCCTGGATAATCATTGAATATCACTCACATGTAAACGGAAGCTACAAAATCATTGCACGAATTCCGTAACAGATCTCACGTTTCAATAAGAACGAAGCGGGTTTACGAGGAAACCACATACTAGTCGCAAGCATCATCGGTAGTATCCACGGTTGCACAGGTATTTAAAAAGATAACCGAGCTGTTAGTAAGGGCGGTCGGCTTATCAGCCTGAGAGTTGTCGCAGGAAAGTCTTCGTGATTCCCCCAATATGCCTCCTCAAAGAAGCGCGAGCGGCTCGTATCAGAGCGGATCATGAAGGCTTCCGTGCTTCCGGTGGTAGTGTTGAATGAATATGTACACTCGCCATACTCCACAACAAAACTAGAAGTTTCACCATCCAATCGCAACCCGCATCATTGAATTCCATGCTGAATTTGACCAAGTCAAAGAGGAATGCATTTTGTTTACCCCAAAATCCGATGGTGTCACTTAACCTGACTGGTCCT